CAAAAATAAATAAACGTTGAAAAAAAAAATTTAAAGAAAAAAATGTAAAAAGAATATAAAAATATTCTTAATCCTACCACTGAGAGATAATAGCCATCAATATCTTCATGCATCTCTTAGACTCTTACTTATCTCCATAATCATTCTATAGCTACATAGATATAGGTATACTCTTTTAGAAAACAACAGAAAAAATGGAATGTTCTGAACATCTCATCTGTTTTCTTTCATTTTGCATCACTAGTGTCATGTCATGGACATTTTCCCATTGAGGTTTAAATCGCCTTAAAATCATTACTTTTAGGGGCATCTGGGTGCTTAAGCACTGACTTCAGTTGCTTAAGTGTCTGACTTCAGCTCAGGTCATGATCTTGGGCTCTGTGAGTTCGAGTCCCACGTTGGGCTCTGTGCTGACAGCTCAGAGCCTGGCGCCTGCTTCGGATTCTGTATCTCCCTCTCTCTCTGCTCCTCCCCCGCTCACACTCTGTCTCTCTCACTCTCAAAAAAAGAATAAATGTTTTAAAAAATATTTAAATCATTACTTTTAATGCTTGTATCATACTCGATATAAATGATTTGGCAATTATATAAAAATCTCCTGTGGTTGGGGGACACCTAAGCCACCCCCCTCTGAGCCTACAAATAAAACTTGATATGTAAATATGAGTAACACTTGTTCCTAGAAATAATCCTTATATTTGGTGGTTGTGTGTATATGGTTATTCTCTTAGAATGAATTGCTGGAAGTAGAATAAATGGGTCAAAGGGCATTAATATTTTTTAAGTCTTTGATACATGTTGCCAAACTGACTCCTAGAAGAGGATTTATCAGCTTACACTGCATGGGGAGTCTCACCCCCTTCTCAGGGGTCAGTGCTGGCCAGTGATTAGAGCACATCTGAGCAGCAGCAGGATTCCTGGCTTTCTCTAGCAAGTGTCTGGCTGGACGAGGAAGTGAGAGGAGGGCCCGGATTGGACGGAGGTAGACCATATGTTTCCCACAGAGCCTAGGAAGGTAAGTGCACAGGGATGGAACAAACTCCGCCAAGAGAGCTGGGTCATGCAACTTCTCGTCCACACTTGCCTCAGATTTGCAGGGTGACTTCGGGCAAGTCAATTAATCTTTCTGGAGCTCAACTGAATCATCTGTAAGGCAAGTCTGAAGCTAGATGACCTCTAATGTTCTTCTCAGCTCCAAAATGCCATGATTCCAACTTTTTTGGAATCTCTGGGCTTTAATATCGTATGTCTGAGAGCTGTTGAGACTTAATTAGTAACAGTGACAAGTTGAGAGGTCCTAGGAACAGTTCTATGCCATTTTATTACACTAGCACTTAGAGTTTACAGTATTCGTCATTCCATTTGAGTCTCCCCCGAGTTAAAATCCCTTGTATAGATAGGGAAAGAGAGATGCAGACTTTTATTCTTATTCTAATGCTTTATAAAGTCCCCTCCAAACCAATAGCCAAGGGCTCATTCATATAATTCACCTTGTTCATTTCTTCACAGAGGGTTTCATGATCTGTAATTACATACTGTTTTCCTTACTTTTTAGATCTTTTTTTTCCTCATCTTTTCAAAGTTGAGTCTTATAATTATACTAAAAAGAGTATACGTGTATAATTTATAAATAAATAGGCATATTTTACAGGTGTGAGATTATCGCGTTTTTTCTTTTCCAATATTTAATTGTAAAAATTTTCAAAGAGTAATCAAAAGACTTGTACAATCCTACTTGCACAGTAGGCAGTAATGTATCAACTGCCTACATTCTATAATTAACATTTTACTATAGGGTGCCTGGGTGGCTCAGTCATTAAGCATCTTACTTAGGCTCAGGTCATAACCTCATGGTTCGTGAGTTTGAGTCCCACATCGGGTGAACTCAAGCCCCCCTCCCTTCAGGTGAGCACGAGCCTTGCTTCAGGTAAAACATGAGCCCTGCTTCAGGTGAGCCCCACTTCTCTCTCTCTTTCTCTTGGCCCCTCATGGAACTGCCCCTTGTGGAATTCTCTCTCTCTCTCTCTTCTCTGCCCCTTGCTCACTTGCGCCCCTCTCTCTCAAAAAACAAAACAACAACAAAAAACCATTTTACTATATTTACTTTATTGTACATCTGTCCATTTTATCTTTTTATCCATTCACCTACCCATCTAATTTTTTGATGCATTTTAAATCAAATTTTTTTACCGATGGGGTGCAAAGTCAAAAAAAGGTCACAGGTTACTGCTCTAGAAGGGCTGGCAAAGTAGGATCTGCATATGTAATCTAACCCAATGTCATTCTGTTGGAACATAGCCATCCCCATTCATTTTCATATTATCTCTGGCTGGTTTGGCTCCACAATGGCAGAGTGGTTTTGACAAAGACCATGTGTGGCCCATAAATCCTAAAATATTTACTACCTAGCCTTTTACAGAAAGTTTGCCAAACCGTGTTCCAGGTTATAATCCCCATAACGACAAGGCTTATGTTTTATTAAGCAGTGTATGCCCAGTGCCTAATACAGTTCTTGGCTTATAGTATGCATGCAACAAATACTTGATTAAATGAATAAGTGAATTTTCATTTCCCTGCGAGGAAGACGGATTTTGCTCAATCCTCCAGACTTTATCCACAGTCCTGACCATAATGCCTTGACTAGGACCATCCACATATGTACTCACAAGTCTCTAGTCATTCATTTGACAAATATTATCGAGCACCTACCAGCCAGGCCAGGACGGTGCCCAGCCCACCCTGCTCTGGGGACTTTGAAGGCCCAGGCTGGAGGCAAAAGCACAAAAGGAAACCTAAAGTTCTCCCTGGAGTCCCCAAATGCACTCCTCGCCCCCAATTATTACAATCTTCTGCTCATTCATTCTGGATCTTAGGGCAAATCATTTCACCTCTCCAGGTATGTGGAACGAGGGCAGCCTCCCGTTTCGGGGCTGGTTAAGATGACCCACGGATATCATGTATACGATGGTGCCTAGCAGCTGGTGGGCACCAATGACTGTCCATAGCTTCTGAAGTGTGGTCGTGCCTGTGTTCTGCTCTGGGCTCAGGTTTGTGGCTACCGGAGCTTTATTAATGGACCTGCAGGTGCCGGGAGCTGAGGCCCTAAAAGGCCTGACCAGGAACCTCTGGAGGTTCCCTGATGTCCAGTTTGCCACCTCAGAATGGTGGCCCGCAGCTCCCCACCTCCTCTGGCCCAGGATTTTGGCTACTTTCTGAGAGGCCAAGCCCCGCAAAGTGATTTAGCAGGAAAAGGTGGGGCTGATCCAGGTGAGGGGCTTGGAAAGTTCTTGAAATCAATGGTCCTCCAACCTGGTTGCACTCTGGAATTAATTACCTGAGAAGCTTCTATAGTTTAGGCCTGGGTCCTACCCAGAGATTATGATTTCATTCATCTGGAGCCAGGAACCCTGCCATTAGGCATTTTAAATGCCTTTTAAGGTCCAGACAAAACTGAGAACTGCTCCCTCCGATGACGAAACGTAAGGGCCTCATCCTGGTGCTCCCTTTACCTGGCACAAAGTAGGTGCTCGGCTTGTGTTAGATTCCTCAACACCTTTAGGATTCCTGCATTATGACAAGAGTGTCCATTCAAGTCACTAACATGCTGACCTTGTGCCCTCAACCCAAGCGAGCCAGCGGCTGAATATCTTTAGCCAGGACTGGGACCAGGTGCTCCCATTTAGGGAGGCGCTCACTCTCAGGGTCACACAAGTGCGGGGGCGGCACCTGGACTGAGGCACCCCACCCTGCTCCTCACTTGTCTCACCTGCGTCCCGGCCTTGTCCCCAATATCTAGGCCACAGGAACAAGCAAACCTACTGGCTGCCCTTAGTAACATCTGGATTTTTTTAAATCTGACGCTGAGTGTAATGGGACTGCAGTGAGAAGCTGTCACATCTGTTCCCCTCAGTCTACCGTAAACTATTAGCATCCAGGAGGCAGGGTTGTCCGAACTTGGCTGTGCACCATCATCTGGGTTGGCTACCATGGTCATACAAGCTGTAGTGCTCATGAGAGCCGCCAAACTCCAGGTCCCTGGGCTTCGCCTGCAGGACTCTCATTTCATAGGTTCCAGCGAGACTCAGGAGTTTGCATTTTAACAAATACTGGGGGGGCGATCCTGATGCAGGCAGGCATCCAACCTCACTTTGAGAAACACTCACAAAGACCATGGAAGGGGCTTAGACATTGCCAACAGAGTGATCTCAACCCTGGATGGACATTACCTGGGCTGGGGCACAGAATCGATAGCTTTTAAAGCTCCCAGGTGATTCTCACATGGAGCTGGAACTGGGAACCGTTGAGCTGGTCCTGTCCTCTCATTTTCCCAGCAGGAAAACAGACTCCCTAGAGGGCAAGTGCCTTGCTCAAAGCCACACAGCTACGAATTGACCGGAATTCAGGGGCCAGCCTTTGGAGTCTGAATCAAGCATGAAGATCCCCAGAAAGATGCTGGACTCCTAGATGCCACTGGGAGCCTGCACTCACCCAGAGAGGCCAGCACGGCCACGGCCACCAGGAGCAGGGCCAGGAAGAGATAAAGAATCCGCACCGACGTGTGCAAAGACAGGTTCTTCTGGCAGCGGCTGCAGCGGGGCCCCGGCCGGCCTGTTGGGGAACAAAGCAGACCAGTGGCTGAGGCTGCAGGCGAAGGGACAGTTTCATGTTCCTACTCTGACCTGTCTCATCACATATCAAACCAGCCTCCAGGAAGGGAGTTGTTCTCCATTTTCATGTCTGCCCATCTCCCTGTGTTTTCTCTAGGTGCTTGAGCTTTGAGAAATAGAAGAGACCAGAGTCGGGGTCTTCCAAGAACAGCCCCATGACTGCCACCAGTGTCCCTTATGGCAACATCAATCAGCCCATGGTGTGGGAAGACACCTCTTCCTGATGCATTGGCCTTACGATGGTACATAACACAGGGCAGTCAGCTTTGTTTCACCACTGGATGACCAACTTGTTTCAATTTGCCTCCGACTTTCTGGGCTTTAGCACTGAAAGTCTCCTGTTGTGGGAATTTCTCAGCATGGGGAAAACCAGTCACACACCCTGGGAAACCCCTCAGTCCCCAAACTTTTCGGGTAACGAACAGTTCTCCTGGAAATGGAACGAATGGTTCCAGTCCACCAGTTGGGTCCCTGGTATGGAAGAAGAAAGAAGCCAGGTGTTCTGGCTACTCTGGCACATGGCCAACGTCCAGGAGGCATGCAGTGATGTCCCCGGTTGTGACATTTCTAAGGCGGATTTGGCTTCAGCTGCATATTATGAGTACTGGGAATGTTTTAAAATTCCTGATGCCTCCTTTGCATTCCAGACCGAAAGAAATCAGAATTTCTGAAGGCTGGTCACAGGCATCCTGGCGTGGTTACAATATACAGCTGAGGTTGGGGTGCCTGGGGGTCTCAGTCGGTTGGGCATCCGACTTCGGCTCAGGTCATGATCTCACTGTTGGTGGGTTTGAGCCCGGCGTCGGGCTCTGTGCTGACAGCTCAGAGCCTGGAGCCTGCTTTGGATTCTATGTCTCCTTCTCTCTCTGCCCCTCCCCTGCTCGTGCTCTGTCTCTCTCTGTCTCTCAAAAATAAATAAATGTTATATATATAAAAAAAAAATACAGCCAAGGTTGAGAACAGCTGCTCTAATCTAACCAGAACCCACTGAACTCTACTCTAAGTAACAGTTCAGGTGGCATTGGTTTCTGACACTATCCAAATGCTAAGGTGGGTCCTGTGGGCTAAGTGGTTGAACCACTTGGGTGGCATGGGATATGGTGAAGGGGACAGTTCTGGGCCAGCTAGAGGACGGGTCCTGGGGGAGATGGCAGAGGTCCCTGACAGGTCTCAGGAGGAGCCCTAGAGACAGATGTCACTTGTGTCAGACTTTGACATCATCCACACTATATAACCCAGGCCTATGCAACTCTGCCCTTCCCCCTCCAGGAAGCAATGGGGAAAGGATTTTGAAGCCATGTAGAGAGGTAAGTCAGCAGCCTGGGGGTGGGGGCAGGGAGATCAGAGGGCAGCCCTTACCCTCTTGTGTGCATGGGAAGGTCGGCATGTCCTCGTCGTCACCAGCCAGCTCCTCTTCTGTAACATACAACGCATCTCTGTCGCCGGTGGCCGACCTCACTGTGACGGAGCCAGTGCTGTCAGACCCGGGGCTGGAACCTCGAGCCATGCCCACCCCTCTCCAGCTGCCCAGTTCGTTTACAATCCCCACACCCCATGCCCACCCCCACCCTTGAGTACAAGTCAGCCCACCTGAGCTCCAGGTGACCCGGAGGAAAGGGGAAGAGGGAGGGAGAGAAGAATCGAGTGGCTGAGGAACTGAGATGTCGCAACACCTCTGGGCAAGGAGATTTCATGATCTCCCACAAGCCAGTAAAGATCCACAGGACAGCTCTGCTGCCTCCTTGCTCTGTACCTTGCTCAAAGCCCTGGGATGGAATCAGAAGGAATAAGCGCTGGTTGCCTGACCCCTCTCAGCATCCTTCCATTCCCTGGCACATGGTAACCCAAGCAGAATTCCTCTGCTCCACGGTCAAGTGTGAATCTACAAGACTCTGCATCCAGCCCAGCTGGGGGAGCTGCAGAAAGGAGGAAGTGGGAACAAAGAGAATACAGAATGGTGGAAATGGTCACAGACCTCTGCCTCACGCGCTGCCTCATCCGGGACCTGCCAGGGTGTGGAAGGGACCATGGGAGGAGCAGGTCTCCCTGGGGCCATGTGTTCCCTAAGTAAGACCTACGTGATGGATTCCCTCAATCAGAAGATTGCTCTTGTTCCCCCAGACACCTCATACCTCCTCCTCCTTCCAGGACCTGGTCTTTTAGAAATGATGAGGAGAAAGACACCCAAAATAGGCAGAGTGAGCCAGAGTGGGTGTTTAAGGATGGAGCCACCCAGTACTTCTGTCCTGGGAAGTGTGGGTGTGTGTGGCGGGGGGGGGGGGTTGGGAGTGGAGGTTGGGGGGGCTGGTGTACGAGCTGATCATGACGACTGAATTCCTGGGAGATATCTGTTGAGGGGATTTTTAAAAACTATGCCTCAAAATCCGGAAGCAATAAAAGAAAGAGATTAATACATTTGACCACATGACAATAAAATAACAATGCTTTGGCATGACCAAAACAAAGTCAATGACAAACTGGGAGAAAATATTCATAGCACATATTATAGACAAAGAGGCAATATACCAAGTTTCTAAAGAGCTTTAAAAATTCAGGAAGTGGAATTAATCCCGTAGTCCCAGAATACAAAATCAACGTACAGAAATCTGTTGCATTTCTACACCCTAATGATGAAGCAGCAGAAAGAGAAATTAAGGTATCAATCCCATTTGCAACTGTGCCAAAACCAATAAGATGCTCAGGAATAAACCTAACCGAAGAGGTGAAAGACCTATACTCTGAAAACTATACAACCCTGATGAAAGAAATTGAGAATTACACAAAGAAATGGAAAGATATTCCATGCTCCTGGATAGGAAGAACAAATACTGTTAAAATGTCTATACTGCCCAAAGCAATCTACACATTTAAAGCAGTCCCTATCAAAATACCAACAGCATTTTTCACAGAACTGGAATTAACAATCCTAAAATGTGTACGGAGCCACAAAAGACCCTGAATAGTCAAAGCAATCTTGAAAAAGAAAAACAAAACTGGAGTATTACAATTTCAGACTTCAATTTATACTACAAAGCTGTACAAACATGGTAATGGCACAAAAATAGACACACTGATCAATGGAACAGAAAAGAAAACCCAGAAATAAGCCCACAATTATATGGTCAATTTATTTTTGACAAAGCAGGAAAAAATATGCAATGGGAAAAAGTCTCCAACAAATGGCAGTGGGAAAACTAGACAGCAGCATGCAAAAGAATGACACTGGACCACTTTCTTACACCATACACAAAAATAAATTCAGAATGGAATTTAAAATGAAAATTCATTTGCAAATGACATATCTGATAGAGGGTCAATATCCAAAATATATAAAGAATGTATAAAACTCAACACCCCCCAAATGAATAATCCAATTAAAAATAGGCAGAAGACATGGACAGACATTTCTCCAAAGAAGACATCCACTTGGCCAACAGGCACATGAAAAGGTGCCCAACATCACTCATCATCAGGGAAATGCAAATCAAAACCACAACGAGATATCACCTCACACCTGTCAGAATGGCTAAAATCAAAAACACAACACAAGTGAGGATGAGGATGTGGAGAAAAAGGAACCCCCTTGCACTATTGGTGGAAATGTAAACTGCTGTAGCCCCTGTGGAAAACAGTATGGAGGTTCCTCAAACAGTTAAAAATAGAACTACCCTATGATCCAGTAATTGCACACTGGGCATTTACCCCTTCAACAAAATACAAAAACACTAATTCAAAGGTATACATGCACCTGATGTTTATTGCAGCATTATTTACAATAGCCAAATTATAGAGGCAGCCAAATGTCCGTCGACAGATGAATGGATAAAGATGTGGTATATACACCTAATGGAATATTATTGTCATAAAAAGAATGAAAATTTGCCATTTGCAATAACATGGATGGAGCTAGACAGTATAATGCTAAGTGAAATAAGTCAGTCAAAGAAAGACAAATACCATATGATTTCACTCATATGTGGAATTTAAGAAACAAAACAAATGAGCAAAGGAAAAAAAAAGAGAGAATGACAAATCAAGAAACAGACTCTTAACTATAGAGAACAAATTGATGGTTACCAGAAGGAAGGGGGTCGAGGGATGGATGAAATAGGAAAACCCAAACCCAAAAATCCTATAGAAAAATGGACAAAATACCTGAACAGGCAATTATGAAAAGAGATAAAAAATGTCCCCTAAGTGTTTCCAATTAAGCAATAAATAAGTCATGGGCATAAAAGGTACAGCATAGGGAATGTAGCCAATGGCATTATAATAGTGTCGTATGGTGACAGACGGTAGCTACATTTGTGGTGAGAATAGCATAATGTATAAACTTGTCAAATCACTATGCTGTACACCTGAAACTAATGTAACATTGTGTGTCAACTATAGTTCAGTTGAGA